GCTACTTGTCAAAAAGCTGCAGTGCTACACATTTCTTATTGGATTACAAGGTGCTGGGAAGGAATGCAGGAACCGGCCGGTGTTCTTCTCCTTGCTGCTGGTAGAGACTGAGAGAAACAACATGGGTGAAAATGAATAGGGATCCTACCCTTTCCTTCACGCCCGCTGCTTGCCAAATGCAAAATACAGCATGTGCCATTTATTTCTAGTCAAAATAACCCACTGTGTGATTTTTATGTGTGTGTGTGTGTGTGTGTGTGTGTGTGTGTGTGTGTGTGTGTGTGTTTGTTTGAGTTTGCTTAATAGATTCTTAATGTGCAAAGGATTGCAGCGTATCAGACGGGCTGGGAGTTAATGGCGTAACAACGGCAACAGTGGAACGGATGGCTTGCTTCAACACCTGGAGAAGGGTTCACCTGTGTGTGTGGGTGTGTGTTACGGGTTGAGATGACTCGGGCGGTGATAAAGCAATAAACCAACCACACAGTCACTGGCAGGGCAGCCAAGTGCTATATGGGCAGGAGAAGAATGGAGCTTTTGTATCGTAGCTGGGGAAGTCCATACAACATATTTCACACTATTTCATTTTCATTTTGTTGGACTTGACAAATTAACTATTGAACTTTTCTCCAGGCTGATATGTCTCTGCGTTCACTTAGTTAAACTACTAAGAGTCTACAGCCATGCTAGCAGCTCTATGAGGCTGTACTTAAGCACAGCAGTGCTTTTAGCTAAATGCTATCTTCTGCATGCTAACACGCTCACAATGACAACGCAAACAGGATGACGTCTGACAGGTTTATTGTTTACAACACTTACTGTCTTAATTTAGCATTAGCGCTGGATGAAAAGTCAGTGGAGACATAAATGTCTCAAATTTCAAGACAATCCATCTAAAAGTACTCACAACCACATGCCAACCTCATGGTGGCATAAGGGGAAGCGTCAGGGGGTCGCTAACATAAGTAGGATTCATTTTTTGGGGACCATTAATGTTTCTTCAAGATATACATTTAAGATTTGAATGTAATACTACTATTACTAATAATAATACTACTACTAATAAAACATATTTAAATATTTAAATCTGGACCAAAGAAGCCTGGACCAATCACAAAGTGACACTGGCTAAAAACAGACAAGAGTGGAGACAAGAGTGGATTCTAACTTAAAGGATAATTTAGGTATTTTTAAACCTAGCCTTATTTTCAACATACTTTGGTGTCAAAATAGGTACAGAAGCTTTTGGAATCCGTGCTGTAGATGATTTAAGCCACAGCAGCTGCGAACTGGCTGCTGTGGCTGCAACTGCAACAGATCAGTTTGGGCCAGTTGCGCCCGTCAAATTCTCCAAAAGTGCTTCTTTTCGTTATACGAGGTGTCTAACAACATAATGGAAAGTATCGCTCTGAAATCTCGTGAGAGGAGAGTTCTTGCAGGAAGACGACAGTGGAAACATGTCAGAGTTTGAGAGAGGAGTTTGTTGTGTTGGAGTAACTACAGGTCTCGCTTGCAGCTCTTGTGCGTACAAACAAACACAGTCAGCAACCTTTGTTTTGTTGTCTTCCTGAGCCTTGGGGGGGGTGGGGGGTGGGGGGGGGGGGTTCTTTTCCCTACAGCACAGCATGAAGGAAAGTCACTGAAGTCTCTAAATGGCAAACGACACCTGCATACCCCAAACAAAATGCTACTGTGAGAACTACAACTGTGGATAAGAGGATGGTGGAGGGAGGATGGGTGTGTGTGTGTGTGTGTGAGGGGGTGGTAGAGTCAACAAACCCAGTTCACTCTGCTGACACGTTAAATCTCACACTTTGGGAATGAGACTGTAAGGACTTCAGCAGATACTTATCAGTGGCGGTTAGTGCAGACAAACACTGTCACCTTCTGCACAGCAGCCAACTGCTTTCAGAGAGGCCATGCATGTATGTACACACACACACACACACACACACGCACACATTGTTAAATAATGGACAAAAATAATGTCTTCATTGTGCTCTTAAGATTTGATACTCGGGGCCATAAATGTTTGAATTGGATTGGGGAATGGATTATGTGTGGAGTGGTGGAAAGTAACTAAGTATGTACAATTTTGTGTTATCTTACTTTACTTTAGTACTTTAGTATGTCCAATTTATGCTACTTCTACATCTACACTACATGTCAGAGGGGAACATTATACTTCCCTACATTTAAGTAAATACTGTAGTCACACGTTATTTTGATTTTACAACAAAAAATGTAATTTTCTTATTAAAAATAGGGCATTGTTATAGATTAAAGGCCCTGCATACCCTCTCAGGTGTGCTCTGATTAGACCTGCTCAGGTTGGATTTGTGTGAAGCTCAGCTGAGATTTAGGTGAGGTCCTCCTGCACTATTTTTACACAGTGGTATTGTTACTTTTACTGAAAGGTAGAGCAATTCTCGTTAAATCCCAAACCATGACAAATACCATGGTACAGAGCGAACAACGAAACAGCATGTAATGTAACTAACATTAGCTAAGTTGTGGGTTAGCAAACTATTGCTACAGTTGCTGCTGTGAAGCTAACATGCAGTCCCAGAGCACCACACGATCTCCAGACCGCGATACTCACAACTCTCCTGCTGCTATAGCTAACATCACAACAACAGCATGTTTTGGCAAACTACACAGAAAGTAAGCTGAATGTCCGTGGGCCAGTCATTTAACGTTACCTGACACACAAATCATGGCTGTAACGGCTGGAATAGAGTTATGTGGCTTGGTGTGGGACACTTTGTTTGTTTCCCATTTACAGAGCCATGGATGTGTTCAAACGGCGGATTTAGATTCAGCACACACACTGGACCGACAGGAGATATTTGCTGAATTTGACAAAAAGACGTGTAATGGATTAGAATCGCTTATCCCCCCTTTCTGAGTACTTCTTCCACATCTGGTGGAAAGTGTGTGTCATTTATAATCTGTTAACATTTAGTCTCCCCCCTTTACCCTTTAAATAAGTTCAGGATAGGACAAATCATCTGTTATATGTCAATTCTTCATACATGCTGTATGATGTTTACACAATATATATTCAGACCCAGTTAGACAGAGCCAGAATAGCTGTTTCCCCTGTCTTTCAGTCTTTGTGCAAGCTAATAGGCTGCTGGTGGTAGTTTTATATTTACTCTAGGCTACTGGACAGTCATGAGAATGGTATTTATTTTCTCAACTAACTCTGCAAACAATTTCTTTTAAAAAATAAACATTCTTATACACACATACTGTATATGTTATATACATTAAAATAAAATGGAAAAATTCAGGTGGCGCACTATGTATTTTTCTTCGCGTCTAAGATCAAACCAACCAGATTGCACGTATTTTTCTCTTTCTGTCTCTTTGTCTGTCTCACACACACAAACACTGTAAAAATGTGATACCACAGACTACTTAAAATGATGTCAGTGACACAAAATGTCATCATCAGCCCACATCCAATTACCGCAGCAACAACAGGACTTTGAAATCCACACATCCACAATCTGCTCCTGACACGAAATTTCTCAGTGGGATTAAAAGTGAAGAAGAAAAAAAGCAAAGTGACTAGATAATAGAGCTTTTGTCAGAGTCGAGTGGTTTGGCTGCAGATTCACTGCGATGAAATGTGAACGTTTGTGCCAGAAAGAAGAGATTAGTGACTTTTTTTAACCTCTCGTCTTGTTCATTATTGCACGGATCATTGTTCTGCAGCTCATGTGAAACCTATGTTTGGAGCCGTCTTTCAGCATGGACACACACACACACACACACACACACACAGACTCATGCTTTCATCACTTTAGAGGATATTACATTGATTTATTTATTTCCTGGAGACTTACCCTAAGACTAACCATAACCACTACTTGCACAATTCTTACCCCTAAACTTAAACCAAGCCTTGACCCTAAAATGTCATGATTTACGTTAAGGGGACTTAAGGAAAGCAAGTCCCCACAACGTGACAGTGTACAGATTTGTCCCCACAACATATGTAATACCTACATGTCCGCACACACACGCACACATTGAGAGTCCGTAACTGGAAAGGAATGAGTGGAGAAATGCATCTTAAACGGATGAGATGATGCTGCTCACAGATTTATAGGCTTATATCATGTTTCATCTCTCTGGAGAACACAGTTAGTGCTCATCCACTCAGTCACATCCACACTTCATTTGTGTGTTTTGTGTTTATGCAAATGAACAATGTCATAAAAAAACAAAAACAATCCAGCAATGTCATGCTACTGACTCTCACTGAGGCTGAGTTCATGGCTTTAAGTCCTTTTGTTATGGAAAGTAAAATACTTGCTCTCAAATTAACGTAAAACACTTTTACATTTGATTGTATTGACTATTATTTATCAAGATATTGTGACATCATTTGATTTCCCAAAGATTTGCGCAGAATCTGAAAACAGATTTGCTTCAGAGATAACTCTTCAGAGATAATTATAATATAATAATAAACTGAGCCCCAAAGTGAAACAATAAAAAATATGACGCAGGTATTTCTGGAGGACTTGTGACAACAAATAGCAAAACTCAACATTTGACCAGCATTTTTAAATTTAAATTCACTTTTTTCAATAAAGTATGCCATAATATATGATTTTTGTATTCAGATTCTCCTTATGATAAACAGGAGGTAATGTGTCATTTAAATTGGTAATAACGGTTTTCAATTACACACTGCAAACTGAATATTTATATTTCATATAAATACATTTTATTTTACCAAAATTCACAATTTCAGAATAAGATATAAAAGGTCTACAAAGTCTCAATGCCTAATTTAACTTCTATCCTAGTTAACATTTTGAATGATAAATAGTAAACATTGTCCTGTTGGTGGTTTGCTGGTATTTGTATGAATGTAAAAACCATAGTGTTTCATTAGCGGGTGCAGACTAACTTCTGACCTAAACAAAAACCTGTTCACAGTTAAACATGTCTTAACTTCAGTATAAAATGAAATGCAAGACTTTTTATTGAAAGAGTTCAGTCTTATAAAGTTTATTGACATGAGGAAAACATTGGGATAATATTTAAATACTCTACACAATAAAGTTATTAAACATGCACATGTAAAGTATAATATACTGTACATAAATATTACATTGGGAAAAAAATAATCTCTAGCTGGTCTAATTTCTGATGTAGTGTCTGTGTGTTTAAGATTTAGTTTGACCCCAAAACTCCAACTTGAGACGCCCTCTAACTGAGACAAACCTGACATTTATAGTGCAAGAAAAGACTTAATGGGAATTAATGGAATGCTCGACTCATGGCAGGTGTGGGTCTCTTCAGTATGGCTTCCACAGAGAAGGACAAAGACTCACTGGACGCCATCTTGGTCCCCACAGGCTTGGACGGAAAGTCTTTGGCGTACCGGTCAGTGATTTTGACGGTCTGAATGTCTATAGCCGAGCTTTCCCTAAACTTGCGGGCGGCCTCCTCTAAGAGCTCTTTGCAGTATGGAGCCCTATGCTCCGGCCCGGCCTCGCCGCTGTTTTTTTCACTCAGCGAGTGCTGGATGAGAGAGTGAAAGGAGTTGAGTTTCATGGAAAGCTTAGTGCTGTCTTTGCTCAGCTTGTTCAGGACTTGGCTGGAGTGTTGGGAATGAGAGTTGTTGTGGAAGGATTGTCCAAAGCTCCTCTTAGGGGGAGAAAAGGCTGAGCACTCCCTCTGTCCTCCCCGGGAGACACCCGGAGGTTTGGGATCAGCCCGTTGAGGGTCTGATGAGTCCTGCAGTGCAGCGGCTCGGGATCCTTCTAGTTTAGCAGTAAGAGCAGCCGCCGTCTCCTGCTCTGGCGGCTGGCTCTCGGCAGGCATCACCTTGGGCTCCCACACAGCACCTGGCTTCATGTTCTGCACCGCCGTGGCATTGAACAGGCACTGCTGGTACAGCAGAGCGTCACCCAGGTTGGCTGCACCGCGGGGCCACATCATGAAGCTGCCTCGTGATGGCTGCAGCGGGTAATGGCGATAGGTGGTGGCCACGCTGACGTTGGAGGAGATGAGCTCGACGTTGGCTGAGCTGGCGGGATACTGCATGGACAGATCCAGGCAGTTAGGGCCGAGGAAGTTGCATAGCTCTTTGGGCTGCGGCTCAGACTGAGTCGCGGGCGAGTAGGCCGTCTTGTAAGAGTTATATTCAGCGGCGTGGTGGACCATGTTGTTAGGGAAGAGGAGTGAAGCCGTGGCCGCCTGGCTGTTCTCCAGCAGCTCTCGTTCTTTGTACTCCCGCTCCAGCATGATGGTTTCCAGCTCCTTGTCGGCGAAGGCCCTTCTCTTCCTCATGCGATCGCTCAGTGGCGGGGGAAGAGACGGGTTGGACGCCAGGAATGGATCAGACTGCACCGGACAGTATCCTGTCATCAAAAGAACCCCTATTTAAATCAAAGTTTATGGCAGCCAATGTGTTTTGGATTATAGCTGATGTCAAGCATGCATGCAGAAACTTTCACAACACTGACAAACATGCAAACTGCAACAAAGGAGAGTTTCCAATCTAAACAGAAATCATAGTCAATAATTAAATCATCTTGGTGTGACAGTGCTGGAGATGATAATTAGTGAAATGATTGCATGCCAGCAAGTTAACAAATCCTTATAGGTGTTTTGGTGTTGTTAAAGGAAAAAATATAGAAATCCAAGACAAGCTACAGGAGAAACTGAGGCTTTATCAGAGTTAAACAGGGACTGACGATGAGCCAAGAATCAGAATCATCTAATGCAAAAGGAATAAAATATGTTGCTTTTCTCTTGTTACCTTCGAGGATGCTTTTGGCGAGCATGGTGGACGGTCGAATATGCCGCTGATAAATCGTCCTCCTCTCAGCTGGAATTTGTTTCCCAGAAATTCCTTTCTTATCCTGATAAATTGAAAAAACAAAAAAAATGACTAAAGAGGTGCTTTCAAGATGTTTTTATAGATCCTTTTAAAGTACATCATTTGTCACAGCTAAAGTCATATGTGTTTTGATAATATAATCCAACATCTTATTAATAACCTACTTAAAATATGGTTCATAATACTGTTTTTCTTACAGATATAAACAGTTAGCCTTCAAATAGGTTAAAGCTATAAATCACTATGGTTAGCAATTGAATGTGAGATGTAGGCCTACCAATTTCCCTAAAGTTAAGGATAAATAATATGTAAATACATTGATTGTTTTTGCATTTTAATGATACAAAAAGAGAGAGAAATTACAAACAATTTTCAACTGTTTTACAACTAAACCTGATTGCATTACTGTGTAATAAAAGTTAATAAAATACTATGTAATAAAAATTTCATCTTGACAAGCACACACAACAAATGACACACCCTGCGCGCACACACACACACACACACACACACACACACACGAAAAGCGTCCATCTGGTATCATCATTTAAAATACCACAACTGATGTGGTTCATTACTTTACTGCAGCAGACATTCTCAAATATTTGAATGTCAACGCAGTCAAAACACAACATCTGAGGCCCACAGACCCCAAATAGTTTTGCTTTGAGGAAATCATGGGAGATTTTTGTTGTTAAAGTAAAGATGGAAATGTAAAACTGTCTACAGTATGTTGGGGAAAGAGTACGACAGCGAGAGAAACTATGATCAGAACATTTCTTTTAATAGTCGCTAATTAAGCTGCGTCAATACGCTTTTATTTCTATATGATAATGATTGTTAATTTAGTGGGACAACATTAAGAACCCCTCAAGTATCTTGAGACACCACTACCACTGATGTTCAGTCAATCTAAGAGATATATAAGTAGTGCACGTTAAATAACTATATTAATTGCCAAACACTGACCCTTAATCTAGTCAAACTAAACTTAAATTGATACTATATCTAAACATGCATCCAAAATTGGAAGTTTAAGATTGTTTGGAAAAACAAAACAATATTTTTTTAAACAGCTATAATGCTTGACTTTAAATCCGCACAGACTCTGAGGTGGCGAACGTGTAATTCTAGTGCAGTCGAAAACAAATGCCACTGAGTAAAACTAAAATCACATGGTACTATTTGTTTACATTTGACGCCATGCAACATATCTCATTAGGGATCTTCCAGCTGTGTTTTTCTGTTTGATAATTCATGTTCACTTAACTCATAATTGATAATCAGGGTCACAATATCAGCTCTGGCTCTTTCATTTCTTCACCTGGATTATTTACTTAAATACACCAGTTCAAAAAACCAGAATTATATTTATGTTGATAGGCATATATATATGTATGTATGTATGTGTAAATATAGGCTATCAGGAAAAAAGGTTTCTCTTTTCTATCTTATTATGGTCATAAATTGTGCCCTTGATGTTGAAGCCCAAATAACTAAAAAGAGCAATTGAATATGGAGTCATGGCCAAACAGCTCAATTATGAAGATTATTTTAAAAATTACCTAATTCTCACTGAAGCAGTCTGTTGTAAGAGTGACCTTAAATAAAGTCACATTTTCACAGCAATCCAAAGGCCACAGTTCATTGTAAGGCCGGGAAATTACAGTAACTATCAAACTCTCCAAATGCTGTTGGAAATGCCATAATCATGAGTGGGCCACACATACATATGCAATAAATAATGATAATATTTCTTAAAAGATGAGTGTGTTTAAATTGAATTTACTGTATGTTTTAAAAACATCTTTACATGTTTAACATTATCCCCTCTAGCTGAGAAGTAACAGTAGGCATTTGATGCAGTGTGTATAGAAAGCAGTTATTGAGCCATTGAATTCACAGAGTAAATAAAACTGATTTATGAGAAGCAAGATCAACATCTCCTGGAAATCCCTACAGCAAATAAAGGCAGCTAGAAAGGCTTGAGGGAATACACTTGGATGCTTGAGTGCACTTGACTGGATTTGATGTTTTAATAGTGTGTTATTTTAGCATAGCCTAATCAGTAGCTTACTCAAAGGACAGCGGTATTGTCTGAGTTGAATATAAGCACTTGGGTTCATCAAAACTTTAACCTCTGGTAGGCCTAGTTTATGTACAGTTGAAAGCAGCGCTATATAACCAGCCCATGGACACACGGGCACAGGCAACACATTCACCCGCACACACACTCACACGTCCCTGTCCACACACACTAGCGGCCTACCTCCGTGGCTTGCTGCCTCCTCAGGGCCACCTGCGCCGCCATCACACGCTGTCTCTCCACCACCAGCAGGCAGTTGGCACACTGGCAGTCCCTCCAGCGGCAGAAGCGCTTGTGTCCCTTCAGGCAGGACACTACGCCGTGGTTGCGGCAGCGAGCGCACTTCGGCGTCCGGCTCAGCTTCCTCTGGTCCCCCGGACACATGCCGCTGGGGCCCGGCTTGTCGTCGCCTTTGCTGCCGTCTCCGTCGTCCTCGGAGGCGGCGGCGCCGAGCGGTGCCGAGCCGGGGCGGCTGGAGGAGTCCGCCAGGTCATCGCTCTCCGTCTCCAGACTTTCCACGTCGATTTCAAAGTCGCAACAGGCGTTGTCTGACATGTCTGCCCGAGTCCCCCGCCGACTGTCTCTATAGCCAGTTTATGTCTGGAGACAAAAAATAATTATTTAGACCTGTGAATAGGCAAATTTATCATCTCCTTACAAAATACTATAGCCAATTTTATAGCCCACTCTAAAGAATATTGCTTCCACCTTGGAAAACTAAACAAACCAGTGTACGTTATAATTTCGTTAATCCCCAATAAGCTTAATTTATTTAAATGACAGTTTTAATTAGCCCATAGGCCTATCATCTAAGGCAGATTTTGTTTTGCCTCTGATATTAACTAAATTTCTTCACACAGAAAGGGGAAAATTTCATGTAGGGGCCTAGCCTACAAAAACAACAACAAATGAATGGCTTTTTTTTATTATTGATCTGCTAAAAATCGGCTGAAAACAAATCTTCCTTAAAATCTAGAATGCGCACAGGAGAATAAGTTTTACTCAGTCCGTTACAATGTAGGCTACCATCGATATGGACCTACATGACTGCTGCAGTTTATTGGCCTATCGAAGATATTAAACTTTATTTTGTAGCCTACAACTTTTAGAAAAACGGAGTAAAGAAATATGAAAATATATTATTAGAAGCGTAAAATAAATCACGTAAAGAGACCATTATTAGTATGATTTATTACGTTAATAGTCTAACCCTACTTCTCGGTCATCGCTCCTCTCTGCATGTGCCCAAAAATATAGTCGGTTAAGTTGTTGGCAATCCATTGTTTTTTTTTCATGTAGTGATTTGGTAAAACCCCACAGAGTTTAGTAGGCTATACTGTATTAAATATTCTCCAGTTCGCTAACCAACCAGGAACAAAAACATAGTTTACCTCCAGAGGTTGATTCAGCCGTCCAGGGTTTAACAGCACTGAGCTCGTAGTTAGGACTGTGATGAATCACGCACAGACAAACACACAGTCCGGGTTTCAGAATAGGCTTGTAATTAGCTGTTAATTGAGTGGATAAATGAGTGTCACGCGCTGAACAGATCCAAGTTTCCTCTGAAGAAAAGACGCAGAGCGCCACTCCTATGAACCGCTTCAGTCTGTGCTCTCTGCCCACTGATTGGCTGCTTCTAAACACGCACAGACCAATAGAGAGCAGTTATTGACGCGGGGTGGGCGGGGGCAACATTAATTTTCCTAAACGGTTAACAGTAATTTCATTAGGCTTAACTTTCCTTAGTAACGAATTTAATTTTCAGAAGGGTAATAGATTCTGGAGCTACAAAACAGTAGGCTATAAAAAGTAGGCCTACTGGCTACTGTCGTTTTGCTTCCTGATTTAATGAAGATATTACAGCCCCCATATATTTAGCTAATCATCTAAATCTAAGCTGGCTTGAAGTGACCGTTCTCTGCATGCCATCAGTGGCTCCTTTGTCTTTTTTATGGATGTGTAGGCCTATAGCATAATGGATGTCATATATTTTTTAGTTGACCACCGGAGAGAAATCGTTTTTCCTAAATTAGGCCTATTATTTTTTTGATAGGTTAAGTATGGCGCTGTTGCTTAATTCTAATTTGCTACTGAACATCCAGTCTATAAACGAATTATTGATCAACAATGAGCAGAGTCTATATCGCAACAACACCTTATTGCCGTTTTAAAGATGCCATCCGGCCTGATCTTTCAATGGAAAAAACACACATATATATTGACCTTTTCATATTAATTTTTCATGCATTCCATAATCCAAAATAGCCTATTTATTTTTAATCCAATGGTCACCCAGGAATTAATTTAAAATTCGTTGACAATGTTAGCCTAATTGGAGGGCCTTTTGATAATAAGAATATTACAGTGGCAATAAATCCTGCATAAAATGTTGGATCTCTATAGGTAGCCTATATTTACAAAGATCACAGGTTAAACTGCCTTGCGACAGAGACAGGTGATGAATGTGTCCTGCAGGTTGTTACAGTCTGTCCTCCTGCCAGAAGTAACTGATGATGATTACAATGTTTTCACAACAACCACACCTGGAAAAAAAAAAAACACCATGTCAGCATGCAGAGACCTATACACAACAGTGAAGTAAAACACAACCTAAAATACACCCAGCTTTTAACCTTTAACTGATCCTAAACGTTATAACACAGAGAAACATTAACCTACTCCTAGGTTATTAATTCTAAATAGGCTACCCTGTTAGGCCCCACCTTGTCCCTTATCTTAATACATTAAATCTTATTTATAGCTCATAATAGCTCAACATAAACCCAATAAAAAATGCCATGTGCGGATATTTGATCAATCTAAGAATAAAAGCACAAGAAAACATTCATATTTTTAAACCTTTGTTTTCACTTTATCTGCATAACCTACACTAAGTGGCCATGTCTGCTCTCTCATTGTCCTCCCTAGTGTACTTATAAGTAGGCCTAACTTTATCAGAAAAATATTGTGATAAAAGTTAAATAAAAGTCGGATTAAATTCGATATGGTCGAGTTTATCCAAGGAAATATGTGACTTGTTCCGGTAAAACAGCCTACATCGCTGCCTCTGACTGATGACTTGTGAGTTTAAAAGAGGAATGTGACTTTCTATGTTTGGCTCTTTGTTTGCAGCTTGAAAGCTTGACTCTAAAAAGAAAAGAAGACATCTTAGCATTTACCCAGTGCCAACTGACTTCCGAAGGAACTGACAAAAGGACATTGTACAGGCATCCACCTATGGTAGCTGAAAAAAGCATGTTTGCTTAAACCTTTTGTCCGTTTAGCTATAGCTTACTTGTTGTCTAATGTGAAATTAATGAACAAAGCGACAGTAAAATGAGGATGTAGCTCGGCTTGTCAGTAATTTGTTTCAGATCTTTAAAGTTAAAGAACAATCTTACAGCTGTCCATAGAAATAGATTAAAATAAAATAAAAACTAGGCTATAAGATACTTTAGGGCCTGTGTGGCATTTTAAAACTGAGTAATGCCTTTTATTTTCTTAATTTCATATCTTATAGCCTACTTAGGCCTTTTTCATATCAAAAACGAAACAAATTCGTGCTGCAATTATAATATCCTATTAGCCTTTCCTGTTATGTGGTATCTTCGTCAATTATGGCTTTATCATTCATTTTATGATATGATATTTTTAGTGAGGCTCTTATAAATCTCTTGTTGTGTCCCGAGATGTGTGGGTTTTCTTTCTTTGTAGCCTATAATTGGCTATCATAACTAATTAGTTAGCTTGGTTAAGCTTGCTAAAACACACTGACATCTTTTAGCTAACAAACTGCGTCATGTCTTTTTATCTCCGATTCCATAATTTAAATTATGTCGCCTAAATCTATATTATATGCCTTTTTCTATTATTATAAATTATTCTAGCTCAGGAGTTCAAGAAACCACTTTAAAGAAACTGAGCAACACCAGCTTTTGTCTTCCTCTTCCTTTTTTCCTCCACTGCCTCTTAACGGCTCCTCCATGTGTTGGAGGTGAAGACGTCAGGCCTGCAGGTGCAGCTTTATTTGCCACTTCGTCTTAATTTATTGCGGAGGTTACGACCGGCCACCCCGGGCTGCCGTTTCCACATCAAGAATGCTTTGATGTCGAGAGCAGGCTGGACGGTGGGACAGGAGGATCCGCACGGAGCAGGACCCTCCAGGTGAAACGTGTTGGCTGTGTCTGCTCGCTCATTCTGTGTGGGGAGGAGCGGCCTACTGAGGTCCTTGAATGGGCTTCCAGGGGTATGTCAGAGGGAGTAGAAGAGGCTCAAGGGGGCTTTTAGGTGGTTATGAATGTTTAAAGTGGTTCCAAGGGTCCTTGAAGAGAATCAGTGTATTCCTACAAGAGTTCCAGGTCCCTATTAAGTGGGCAGTAAATCCTTGAGGAATTCAGGAAGAGTTCCAGTCGATCCTTAAATGGATGCCAGGCATTATTCAGGGTATCTGCGCGGGTCTGGAGTTTCTTGAGGTGGTTCCAGGTATCCTTGAAGAGGTCTCCGGTGGTATTGGGAAGTCTTTACATGGGTCAGGAGGTCCTTCACGGGTTTCCAGGGATCCTTGAGAGGTTAAAGGGGATCCTTGAAATAATTCCAAATCCAGGTAGTTTTAAAGGGTCTCTGAAATGGTCTGATGATCCTTGTGTAGTTTCCAGGAATCCTTGAACAGGTTTCAGGCATTATTGAAGGAATTTTAGTGGGGTTTCCAGCGGTACTGGGATCTTTTAGAAGTTTTGGGGGTCCTTAAAGGGATTCCAGGCATTTTCATGGGTCTTTGCAATGGTCTGGGGATCTCTCAGTGTTGCATGGATCACAAGGAGTTCCTTGAAAGGATTGGAGGCAATATTGAAGGGATTTCAAGGGTTGCTGCAGGAGTTTGGGGATCTTTTTGGCGTTTTCACTGTCCTTGAGGAAGGTTCAGGGATCCTTGAATGAATTCCAGTTCCAGATCCAGGCACCCTTAAAGGAATTCCAGGCATTTTTAAATGAGTTCCAGGGTTCTTTGAGGCTCCCCAGTGATCCTTGAGGAGTTTGCAGGAAATCTTTAAGGTGTTCCAGGTGTTACTAAAAGACTTTCATGAACTGTGAAGGGGTCTGAGGATCATCACAGCATTTTCTGAATTCATAGTGATCTTGTGGTATTTATTGCACGCTAATATTCTCATTATGACTTTTTAAATCTGCTTCATGTAGTTTGTTTTACAGCTCCACTCTTCCACTTGTATTTCTAAAACAATAGTGTCTCTGTCTAAGATGTCGTGTCACCACCTCTTTATCTTAGTGTTTATTTAAGGTGTTGTCTGTGGAAATTACTCAGTAGGCTTTAACTGATGTTCATCCCTTTTACTGGGCACAACCTGGAGAAAGACACAGACACATAATGACACTTTCTCACACGCTGTCCAGTTTACTTTTGGGGTTGATTGAAACAACAGCATCTTGTTGGAAGTGTCCCGCTGTGCAGGCTGTAAAGTGTAACAGGAGCTGCGTATAGCCAGAAGAGCAGAGTGGGATCACTGGGGATCCTGTTATGTTAATTAGCCTCTGATGGACCGACAACACATGCAGCTGAATACAAAAACAGGCGGGACGACATTTGTCTCTGTCTGACACCTCGACCTGGCTCATGTGCAACAAACAGGAGGACGTGTCCTTAAGCTGCAGACAGTGGAGGAGAAAGAATTCAGATAGTACTAATACTCTACAAGCAGAAGTCCTGCACTGAAAATGTTACTTCAGTAAAAGTATATCAGGAAAATCTACTTAGGAGTATTAAAAGTAAAAGCACTCTGATCTCACACAGAAAATTGTGTGACTGTTATAGTATTATATATTATATTATATACTGATGCATTAATGTAAAAGCAGGATTTTACTGTTGCAGAAGCTAAATATTTTCCTTTTAATCTGCTTATTATTTTTTCTAGTAATCAATTCGATTGATTGGTGGTTTGTAAAATTTCTGAAAATAGTGACTTTGACAATGTTTGCAGAACCAATAATCCAAACTTCAAAATAATTAGAAGGAAAAGCAGCAAATATTTACATCTGCAAAGCTGGAATCACTTTACCGGTTATCAAAATGGCTGCCATTAATTTTCTGTCAATCAATTCATCTTTTCAGTTGTACTTGTGTGTATAGTTACAGTAGCAGTTCATTTTATAATAAAGCATCATATTTTATAAGCTCTCCTTTTTTTTTATGTGCAAAAATCGTAATCTGCAACGTAATTAGTATCTAAAGCTGTAAGATAAAATGTAGCAAAAGTACATTTTGCTCTGATTATAGTGGAGTATAATGTTGTATAAAGTTGTATAAAATGGAAATACTCAAGCAAAGAACAAGCACCTTAACTTTGTACTAAAGTACAATACTTGAGGAAATGAACTTTCGACATGTGTCTGTCTGACTAAAACTAAAGCTGCTCACTCAACTTCACATCTAGGATTTGTTGTAATGTCTGTTCAGTTTTTCATCCATTAATAAGCTGTGTGGTAAATAGGAATGTGTGTCATTAGGGCAGTTTGATCAGACATTTTATATATGAAACTAAATTCAACAATCCCTCTGGAAAACCTGAAAATCCTCCACAAACTCCTAATGATTCTCTCTACAACTAGTGCATTTTATAAAAGCTAATGAATAAACTGAATCTAGAAATTCAACATGTTCTCATTCCTAAACGACAAACTTAGGTCGATTGTCAATTGTCCCACAACAACGTATGTGCTTAGGAAAGAACAACAACATATTGGATTTTACCCAAAAACAACAGCGTTAACAAGTACTACCAGTACAGCAACAGGCGTACTGGAACTTCGGGGGGGGGGGGGGACTCTGGCCTCTTGAGGTTCAATGTGGTATTACAGGACAGTACAGGCCTGGGCCTGCTGGTTAGTATGCTAACTTCAGTAGATATGCAATCTCTGCAATACAATACACAGACGTGTTTCACATCCCGTCAGTACTGTTGCTCACATTCTGCTGATCATGTTAGTTCATGTTTTTGAATGTTTTAAATATAACACACTGTACCTTTAAAACTACTTAGCTTGACATCCGCATCCAAACTTCATTTATTATGGATTATGGACAGCAGCTCTACATAATTTGCATACAATTATCCATGATTGTTAAAGCAGACAGCAAAAAGAAGGTAAATGTGAGGATGAGCGGGGCAGACCACCAGTCATATTCCTTATTCCAACAAATATATTATTAATTCATCTTGCAATGCACAGATCATTCCTCAATCTCAGTAGGAAGTAAGGAAGGAAGGAGAATGAGCTCTGTGAAGTAAACGTGATGTGGATGAATTTCACCACTAGATGGCAGCATTGGAAAGGTTTACACCAAAGGAGAAACCAGGAAACAGGAGAACAGATGAGGAAATACTCAATACTCATCTAAAGATGTTGTGAAGGGTAAACTGAAATATCTGTTTCTGTATTCTTTATGTGTAAAAATTAGTTAAATTAAAATAGTAAATGTATTAGACTATAAATAAGACTAATTTAAAGTTAGTGCTTGAGTAATTGCATTTTCTGCTTCAGGCAAATATTGCACTTTGTACTCTGCTACATTTATTTGATATGTATATGTATGTATTGTTATAGATTAAGTTAATAATTAACTGATCCCGGGGGCAAATCACAAGCTGCCCAGCAGAGTAAATAAAGATGAAAAATTAAAGTAATTTTCATATTAATGCATACAAAGTATTATAATAATACAATCTACATTATTCTCAAATGGGTCATTCTGCATAGTGACTGCATTTACTTGTGCAACTTTAAGTATATGTTGGTGCCAATACTCCTGTACATAAAACTTTGAATGCAGGACTACACTAGTAGTGTAGTAAGTACAAGATCTGAATATTTCTTCCACACACAAATCAAGCCTCAAAAGTAGACTGACTGAAGAAATGTCTCATAATATTGTAATGCAAAACAAAAGCAAATCATTATTTGAAAGGAGATGGCCAGTGAGTTCACAAACTCCAGATTAATTTATTTTAATGTTTACATTCTGATTGTACAAATGTGTGTTTTAGGGAAAAAAGTGAAATCGCTACAGAATTGAAATCTTTACATTGTCCGTCTATTTTTGTTGCATACGTAAGATGTAAGCCATGTTTTCAGTCCTGTTGTCAGCAAAATAGCAGACTAAAGATGCAGCCCATTTGCTTCAGCTTTTGAACACTATAAGAATCGGGATGCTGAAATATTTGCTGTTTAAATATGGTATTAAATTAAAAGTCAGCTGTGGTCTGTTTACAGCAGGGTCTTGTATCTACTTGTGTTGTAACTATATATGAGAAGTTTAGGATTTTATGATCACTGAGCTACTTTCACCATTGCAGATCTTCAATGTGAATTTCTTTAATCTTTCAGTTTTAACCAAGATTCATACTCTTGGACTAACACCTGCACATGGTAACTCTGAATACACTGATACCGGTCCATACTATTTTCAGCATAATGAGTTTACATATATATGCCTCTTTTAAGCAGAATTGAAAACGACTGGAAACATTTTATAAGCTTAAGCTGGCCACAGTAAAAGGCCACTCGAAAATGTGCAGTTCCATCACACAGCACAATGCCACAGATGTTACAAGTTTTTAGGGAGCATGCTGACTGCAGGAATGTCCACCAGAGCTGTTGCCCGTGAATTGAATGTTAATTTCTCTACCATAGGCCATCTCCAAAGGCATTTGACAGAATTTGGCAGTACATCCAAATGGCCTCACAACCGCAGACCACATGTAACGACACCAGCCCACGACCTCCACATCCAGCATCTTCACCTCCAAGATCGTCTGAGACCAGCCACCCGGACAGCTGCTGCTACAATCAGATTGCATAACCAAAGAATTTCTGCACAAACTGTCAGGAACCGTCTCATGTGAGCTCTATATGCTCGTGGACCTCATCAGGGTCTCGACCTGACTGCAACTTCGCACAGCCATTAAAGAGGAGTGGACCAACATTCCACAGGCCACAATCAACAACCGGATCAACTCTATCTGAAGGAGATGTGTTGCACTACGTGAGGCAAATGGTGGTCCCACCAGATACTGATTGGTTTCCGGAGCCCCGCCAGACCCCCCCAATACAGTGAAACTGCACATTTTCGAGTGGCCTTTTATTGTGGCCAGCCTAGGGCACACCTGTGCAATACCCATGCATCTATCTATCTATCTATCTATCTATCTATCTATCTATCTATCGCACACACACACACACACACACAAGTATACACACATAGCCTACATACATACACACAACAATTACTGTACTAATGTTAATTTGTTTTTATGTTTTGAAATGCATGATTATCGAACAAGACCTCCCTCAGTTAAACTTACAAATACAACAGGGCTTTTTAGTCACTAAAGATCATGGTGGAGTCATGGTGGAGTTTGTTGGGTCTCTGTAAATAATATAACAAAGAGTAGCCTATGTTCTTGACCTGCTCTATAGTGCAATGAGATAACTTCTGCTTTGAATTGAGGCTCTATAAATAAAATGCATTTGAACTGAATATAAATTCAGTCTAATACCTGGAATACAATTAGTTGGTAGTCAGTAACACTAAAGACAATATTCCATTTGGGAAACTCTGATTTATTTGGCATACTCTTGACATGCATTGATGATCCTTACATTGAAAGTTTTCACAGTAATAAACATGCATACAGGAAACAGAAGACAAGTTTTCAAAACAACGTGAGTCTGTTACATTCATCCGTTTTGGTCGTGTCCACGTGACATCTAGAAAGCATGATGTTAGAGGGTTAACATCACCTTATCAAAGGGTGATTGTATGACACAGTTCAATTCAAACAATCATCAGTCCATCACCAGCATCTATAGGCCTACTAGGTGGATGAGTTCAGGATGCGGGAGTCTGCGGAGTCGGAGCGTTCTTCGTACTCCTCTTCGGGGGAGTACAGGCCGGGTTTGGATCCCAGCGTGCAGCTCTCCTCTTGGATGCTGATGCGCTGCTCCTCTGAGGGTCTGGAGGAGAGGATGGGGGAGCTGCGGAACACGGACCCACCTGGGCCAGCGGGTGCTGCGGGGGAGAAAGGCGACACATACTGGGCCGCCGAGCGGAGCTGGTACTGCTGCTGCAGAGCCATGGTATTCCACAGAGTCACGTCGTTGTGCACGAAGGGGTTGGCTTGGCTGCGTGTCAGAGAGTTGCGCAACATGAGCGGGTAGCGCGTGGGCTGAGGGAAGGACGGGTGCTGCAGGGGGACACCCAGCGGGCCGGTGGACACCACGCCCGTAGCGGAATCGGATGTGAAGCGGAGGGACTCGGGGACGCGGAAAGCGGAGCCCACCGACCATTTGGCGGAGGAGGACACCGGGTGGTAGGAGCCCAGCGTGTGCTCGAACAGGTGTCCGTTTGAAGGCAGCACCAGGGCGTCCGGGTGCGGGTCGGAGTGCGGGTGCGCGCTCCCATCAGGACTCCGGCTGGACAGCAGCACCTCGATGGCCCCCACTAGATCCCCCCCGCAGCCTCTGAGGATGAGCTCGAGGACAGGAGGCTTGTGAGCGGGGAAGATCTTCTTGAGAACCTCCAGCGGCGGCCTGTTGGCTCGGAGGCTAAAGGGCAGATTGATGGAGCCGGCTAGGCCTTCAATCAGCACGCTCTGCTCTGCGGGGCTGACGGGATACTTCTGAGGACTCTCGGCTTTGGACTCCTTTTCAACGCTACCGGCTTTGGGGAGGCTGTAGCGGCTCTCCTCCGTGTGGGAGGGGGTTTCTGGAGGCTCAGGGGTGTAGCAGGAGTTTGGTTTGGAGCCTTCAGGGGAGCTAACCGGGTCCTGCTCCTTCTCACTGCAGCTCCCCCCGTTCTCACCCCCTGACCCCTCATCAGGACCGTCCTCTGTCGGCTCTGCTGGGCAAAGGAGCAAACAGTCAGGGAACAGGTTTGGGCAGGAATCGCAGAGGGTAAAGACAAATATTCAGCTTGCAAGAAAGACATGCACAAATCTGTCGGGGTAGCCTATTAAATGAATTAATATGACTTCAGAAACTTTTCTTTTCTGCACCTCTTCATGCAAAACCTCTGGTCCATTTAAAGCAAAGCCAATCCGCTGTAAGCTCCCCCCAAGAGGAAACGTAACATGCAATTAATCCCTTGTCAGCTTGTCTCCAACACAACGATTTATGTGGATTTACTTTCTTTTCTCGTCTCCAAAGCTGTTAACACAAAGTGCTGACTGTGTGTCAGTGAGGAATCTACCGTCGATGCCTTTTGACCACATTTTGTAAACAGATCGCTTGTTGCTCGGTAACATTTCATCTGAAGTTGACCTCCTGCAAAAAATACGGCGATTACATTCGATTGGTGCTGTCTGCCGCTGATCACTGTAATCTTTTAAACCACTCAGCTCTGTGTGGCAGGGAGAAAATGGGGCTGGTGTGTGGAGTCAGCTGATCGGTGCCTGTGTCCAAATGTTTTAGTGTCGGAAAAACAAACAAAGTGGAGTCAGGTGAATAGGATAGCGTGGAAAAACATAAATCTGCACAGTGGAATAGGCTATTCAGTATTTAGGCTTTAAGTGCGGGAATATTGAAAACGCGTTGAAATTGCCTAAACACAATTAAAACAAAAGGAAGGAAAAAATAAGATAGGCAACAGTTGATGTTTAAAAACATAGAGTGTTACAGCTTTCAAATGACCAGGATTTTTATTGTCTTAAATAATTTGTTTTAAAAAAGTGAGAAAATATTCCTGACATTTTCAATACATAAATGAATAAATACAAATAATAGCCTACTACCCGTTACGTTGCAGTACTTGAATAACAGCCAGCCTAAAAATAAATGTATTAGGCTACAGATACTGCCAGAATGAATAGATGTCAACCTCTATTAACAACTCAAAATATAAATGAGGTTTGTTGCTTTTGTTAAGATAAAAACGCTTTTCAAAATAATTTGTTAACATTGCATGAAACAAATAGGCCTTTTTTTATGATTATATATATATATATATATTATTTTTTCGCAATTAATGATTTTTTAAGTTTTCAAACCCAACAACATTTTTTTCCATTTAGACCTATTTGTTTTCATTTCTCTAAGCCTCTTGCCCTGTTGTAACATGCCTGGGTATCAATAAAGTCTTATCTCTCATATCTCATCTTGATGATTTACAACAAATTCGTCCTTTCATATTAGCAAATGTGGCATTCCCAAATAACGCAACATGTAAAATAACAACAACAATAACAAGGAAATTATGTTTGAGTTGCTTTTCTGTAACTGAAATATTACTTTAAAATGGACACAAATGACAGCATCACTGTATTTTACTGTAAATATACCCAAACACAGATTAAACATCTAAATCCCATTTTTAACAGAATTTTCCTTTGTGTGAAAGCATAAATTCACACAATATATTGGTAAAGTAGCCCTGCGTGAATCTGGCACTTCGTGGTTCATTTAGGCGATTATTTCTATTATTAGTAGCAACCCAGCAGTAATAGTTTAAAATGACCTCTGTCATTATTTGTTTTTTTCTTCTGCTAAAGAAAATCATTCCATAATGTTTCATTATTTTCATCTCATCAAATAAAATCACTTAGCCTATTTAACAGATATGTAAACATTTAAAGTTCGCAGCTCTTCTCCCACCTGTGCATGTTTGTGCTCCGGCCTGCACCGCCTCTGCGCCGTTCCACCTCAGCTCCAGCTCCTCTGTCCTCGGCGGGGCTCCCTGGTTCCCCTCGCTGGCTCCGGATATACCGATACCGGGCAGCACTCTGAGTGACTCCGGGATGAGGCTCTCCAGACTCTCGTTGGCCTGCTGCCTCCGGAGCGCCACCTGCGCCGCCATGACGCGCTGCCGCTCGATGATGAGGATGCATTTCTCGCAGGTGCAGTCCTTGAAGCGGCAGTAGCGCTTGTGACCTTTGAGCCACGACAACACGCCGTGGTTGCGGCATCGCGCGCACTTAGGGGTCCTTTGGAGCGGGGCCCGGGGCTGAGACACAGGAGCCCCCATGTACAGGTAGGGGGACCCGTAGCCATTCATGATGTCAGACGCGCTGTGTTTTCCAGGACGCACAAGTTACATCTGCCGAGAGGCGAGGCGGGGCGGGAATGTTGCTGTCCGAGAGATGGAGCTGGATGAAGCTGCTCTGCCACACGCATGACAGGATGAGGATAAGAGGTGTTGGAGGATCCACCTTTCCCGCGGCTGACAGCACAGATATGCATCAGGCTGACACGCACTTATGGAGACGAGTAACCAAACGCTGTCAATCGCGTCAACGCGCCTGCACGCTGCAAAAAATGTCCATGTGAGGCGGGGGAAAATCTGCCAGAGGATCAGATAACCCCACATGTTTTCCTGTAAGGTTCACACGTTTGTAAAGTTTCCTTCAAAAATGGGAGGGACAATAACGTCAAGATCAGGGAAACACGTCTGTCAAGATCCAAGAAGAGAAACATTCTGGTTTGCAGTGGAAACATATATGATCTCCATGTAATTTCAGTGGTTTAGAGATTTTAAGATTTTGATCCTGTAGCTCAAAGGAGATTCTTCAAAGGTGATTTCAGCTTTATCAATGAGAAACTGCACCATTACCTCCAGAAACAGATGGCCTGTAGGACATTTAATAACACTGCAGGATGCAGGGTGCAGGAGTTCCTGCATCACACAAACATCCTTTAGAACATCACAGTGGGTTAAAAGAACAAATCCACAGGAGTCAGTGCATTGTCTGCTGGCCTATTTTAAAAGTAGCCCATATAATACAATTTCAGTTTTAACAGTTCAACACTAAATCCCAAAATAGCACCATTAATACTTGAAATAAAATCTGCAGGTTTGAAAGTCAAGGTGCAAATTCAACTATTTTACTCTGTTAATGCTAAAAATAAACAAAAATCAGTCAAAACTGGCCTGCAAACAGACACCCTGAAAAAAAATGCAGGGCAGTTAAAGGACTTAATGACCAAGTCAGTGCCTTTTCAGTTTTTTTTTAAATATGCAGCAGGTCATTTGAGCAGAATATCAGTAATTTGGACATCTCAGCTGTCAATGATGAGACACTTTAAATTTATGGAGGACTGAGTTTCTGCATGAAACACATGACCATTTAAACATTTTGACACATAACATTCACATTTTAAAAATGCAATATTAACATTTAAACTGAAAAGCATCATAAATAGGCTAGCCTATTTAAAAGATCTGTAAGTCCAAAAATTCAACTCTAATGATATCAAAAATTTGACATCTCAGCTGTCAAAATTCTGACTTCTGCTTCGGAAGTCTTTACATATACATCCCCCCAAAGGTTATTTTTTAGGAAACAACATGAGCATAACGCATTCAAAAGTCAGGACGTGGGTTGTACATTATTACCCTCCCCGTTGCCTGCAGGCCCGCAGGCTCGAAGACTGGATACGGACAAAACGCTCGTAGCTTCTCGCACCTTTTACACAATCGTACATAACTTAGATGATTAGGTCTCTACATGTATAAAAAGCCCTTTGGGAACTATGTCGAGGATGCTGATATGTCCCTTCTGCTGGACTAATAGAGGGCATTGAAACATAACACCGGACAAAGCCGGGGCCCATTTCTGACCGTAAAAAAGGTTTATTCAAGCAAATAATGGGATCCGAGGCTGCGCGGCTTACAGAGAATAAGAGCACGGTAAACTTCCCCACATGAAGCCCGTCTCCAGGGCTATTAAGCTTTTAATTGGAAAATAGCAGAGGAAATTTCAAGGTGACTATAGTGGCTTTGCAGTTTGTGCCGGCCGAGTAGATTTGTGGGAGTGGGAGGCGGCGGGTGCACGCCTACACCACAATGCATAATAAATTTATTCATGTTGTTCGTTGATAAAGAGTAAAACACAAACCGGAATAAAAGTTTATACTGCAGGGTGCATTGTAATTGGCTTTTTTTCATTTGATGCACTGCAAGTTGAAGATGCGGAAAGACTGTAAATATTTTATGCTGAAGTCCTTTGTGCATTTAATATTAAACACAAAATAGATTAATTTACAAGAAATAGCCTACATGTTCTTTATTAGATATAGTGACATTGTATGTTAGAAGGACAGTAGCCTAGGCCTGTAGGCAATTATCACATAGCCTAACTTCGACCATAAAAGGAGCACAGGTGGCTTCTATAAAATAAAAGCATAAACAGAAATATACCAGAATGAAATATACCATGGATAAAAAACAAAAACGTATAAGAAAATCTAAATGTGTTACAAAGACCGATTATAGGCCTGTCTGTATGGTGATATTTGCAGGGGTGAACTCCTGTAGTTAGCCTGCAAGCTAACCATTAGCTAACAACATTTATTCAAAAGACATATTTGTGCCATTAACTCCTGCCACAAAACTGTCAACCTGCTCTTTTGTGGAACAGTTTTTACTCTGACAAGGGAGGTTAAATAAAAGCAAATAGTGCAACACAGCTAATAAGCTACATTGGCTACCTCTATATTCTGGACTCTCCCTAAGTCCCATCAAAGGTCAACACTGCTTCAGGATAAAGACCACTGGCTAATGTCTGTATCAGCTGAGACAAATGTCAACCTCATGGTGGCCCTAAAGGAAAAATCAGGGGACCAATCAAAGTGATCATGATTCATCCTCCGGGAACCACAAATGTCTGCACTAAATTTCATATCAATCCGTCCAGTGGTTGTTAGACATTTTAATCTGAACCAAAGTCAAACACAATTTTGTTTCTTATTTATCCCTTTAATCATCTTTTTATTCCCAGGGTTGGAAGCCACATCCTACTGATCAATTTATATGGTCATCAACACAGTCACTTATTGAATATTCTCAAGTTATTTTCCTAAATCAGACACTTGTTTTTTTATTTTTTTTATTTGGTCTTTAGATTCAATCCAATTTGAAGTTCTTGGGTAATCCTACCATAAAATAGGGTCATAACTGTAACTACGGGTTACCAACCTGCATCCTCCTCAGGGGTCATAAAATGGTTATTGGTGTAGGAAATACTATGAAACAAGATTCGGCTTTGCAAAGTCATGTGTACTTACTTATACTTATATTCTCTTATATTTGCTTTTTTTATCGTTAAATACTTCAGTTCAGTTTCAATTCTCCAGCCGTCTAAAAATTATTCAAATGAAACAATATGTGAAAGAAAAATAACCCAAAGGGACTGTGAGGAGTATGGCTGCGTTTTAAAGGGGTTACACCGCAGCCTATCCAAATATTACTTTATTACTTCACATGAAGTGTAAAAAACAACACGGAAAATACGTTTGAACTACAATTGTAGTTACTGTGAAAAAAAGTTATGTTTCGACAGTTTTTTTATCACAAAACCATCAGTAATTATGGCTTTACTTTGGCCTCAAAACACAATCATGGAGTGTGATGCGCTAATGTGATCCACACAGTAATACAGGACTAACGCTTTTTCATGCTCAGGGATCTTTGAATATTGGTTGTAGCTGACACATGGCTGCTATTAACTACATAAAGTACCTCTTATGACCCGTATGTACTGTAGTTGAATGTAATGATTATAGTACAAACGTAACATGCTTATATACTGCATTTATGCCACCTGGTGAGGACACGTGATCTGATGCTTTGCATGTCGTAACACTGATGTTTTGAAATTATGCTGAATTAGTTTAAATTGAGTTAACTTATGTGAAATAAGATAATGCATAAGACATCCAAGAATAGCATATAATAGCTCGTTAAGTATATAGTATTATTACATAGATTGAATGCAATGTCAAATACAAAGTGTTTTTACATCTTACACTACCAGTCCCATAGTACTGTAATCTATATATGCCATATCAGAAGCACGGAGGCACTAAACTCAGGAGTTTGTCTGATGCTCGTTACTCTTTTAGCTCAGCAGATGAAGTCAGTCATGCAGATATCTGTTCAGAGATCACATCGACTCAGAGCTGTAGACACACAGGAGGAAATGATGACAAACACTTTATGAACCTGTGGAGGTAGTTCACTCCTCTGTACACAATCCTTCACATGAGACTTCTACAGCCATTTCTCTGAGGCAAAAATAATAACATTAAGTTAAGAAAAGTTGAATCTCAAAAGTTTCTGGAAGAAAAGACAAAAGAAGCAGGTTAAATGATCAAGCATAGCTGTTTATTAAAACTCACAGTGACTGCATTATCTGGTTATACAGTAGATGAATGATTAAAGGCTGTACATCTCTGTTTTTATTAATTTATTAATTAATGTTTCACCGTATATGGCTTTATGGTTTGTCCATTAATGGCAATGCTTTATACCACTACTTTAGTCCAGACTGAACTATATCAACAACTCGGAAGAATTGTACAGATATTCATGGTCATCAGACAACTATTCCTCTTGCGCCTCCATAAGTTTGACATTTTTGACTTGTTAAGGTAACATCTCAACAACTATTGGATGAATTTGGTCCAGACTTTGGTCATGTCCCCCCACAAGATAAAAAAAACTATTTTAATGGTCCCCTAGCTGCAATGATGTGTGTTATCATGTTTTCACAACTTGTTACACTTATACTCGCGTACTTTTACTACTGCTGTAGTGTCGATTCTGAAGTTTGATTTACTACGTGTGAATTGTTAGAGCGTAACTACAAGAACATTACATTTACTCCTCTACTTTAGAAGAGTCAAACATAAAGAGCATGTCGAGATAGAGCAGTATTGACAGCGTTTATCAATAATCTATGGTTTGTAGTTATTTTGCATCTTTCCTGCGAGTCCTGATAATAACTTTAGTATAATACCAGGGTTTTCAAAGCCTGGGACTGTGGGCCTCCCCTCAGACAAAGCTGTTAGTTTTTTGTCTTAGTTTCTCTATGGAATCATTATCATGTTATGATAATGTTATTTGATCCAAAAGAGACTCAACAATTATCTATTGTAATATTCCTGTTTGACATAACATCAGACTACAAAAGGTCTGTCCTGAAGCATTTATTAGCTTCAGACTCCGGGACAGACGGTAAACTTCCCCAAAGCTATACTGCATCTCTGAACTCTCTCTTTCACCAAATAACACACATTTAGGCTATTCTATGTGATCTCCTTTTGATGACTAATGTAATAACTAATATTTCCATTCAGGTAGCCTCCCCCGAAACTGTTTGGAGTCCCCCTGCGGAGGCCCGCCTCACACTTTCAAAACCTCTGGTATAATATGTTATTTTATAAAATTTGTCTGTGCCTTGATTGGCTGAAACTGTCTGATTTCACTAGATTTATGTCTTAATTATAATGAGTCTAATAGTTTTCCATGACACAAACTCAACTTATGATATCAATAATAAGTTTGTGCAAATATTTTCACATTTCACTCACTCATCTTGGCTCTCATGTGTATATTAGCAGAAGAAACCCCTCCAGCAGGGCCCCTTCAGAGCTGGAGGAGGAGCTGACCTCTGTTGAGTGGAGTTATTATTAGGTGCTGATTGGGGGCGTTGCTGCCACTCAGACGTCCTGTCACAGAAACGCTGATTTAAGTCTCCCTGGGGAGGCGGGACACAGAGCTCATACAGAGGAATTAGCTGGACATCTGAATTAGTGAGACATTTTTAGAAAGCCCAAAACATCAGAAACCATCAGTTTCAAGGGAAAAGGGAAAATATGCTGGGTTTTTAGGCTACCTTTGGCAGATACCTTTCTCTGAAATTCATATGCTTACATTCTTACAGTCAAACTAAATATGGTACTGGTCTCCCAGACGGTTGTCATTACAGAGGTTGCAAATCCTCTGGTTTCTCTCCAGTCCTTTATATCGTCCGATGACCTTGGAAATTCTAGTATTATTCACAGTGAAATTGCAAATAGTCTGTCTATACTTTTGGTTTTCAAGCAGCAGATACTTTTCCACTTTTTCAACGCATGTTTAAATTCTACATACAGTACATATCACATAATGTCATACTTCTAAGCTCACTTTGCATAGAATAATGTGAGAAAATATGGGCTTGAAAAAGAAAAGTAAGCAACAACATTCTTGATGAATGTTGGTTATCTTGGTTCAGGGTTTCTACAGTGTTCACCAAACTAAAATTACCTTTTTAATACCACCTATGATTCTATTTAATATTATTTTCACAGTCATACTGGTCAAAGAATGACAGGAAACCAGTAGGGAATATACTCCTAAACATAGATGGCTGGATTAACTAATTACATTTGTTTTGCATAATATACAAATTATATTTACACATTACCTGACAACAACTGTCCGCTTTATTTTGGTTTCTTTTGGGTTTTATCTGCAATTCTGTCCATGTACCTTCTCAAGAGGTCTAAAAAATTTAAAAAATTTAAATCAATTACAGAAAGGAGATTTCTCTCTTTCTCCAGACTTGTGATTACTGTGAGCCCGTAAAATGCACATGTGAAGTTGTTTTTTTATTGATAATATCTGAACAATTTTATGACTTCTGAAGTAGCTTACACCTCAAAAATGTGCATATTTACAGTACTTAGTAACTTTCCACCACTAGCAACAGATCCCAGAAGTTTAGGAGACCGTTTCACTCTCAAGTTTAGACTCCACCATAATAATAAGATGGTCTTTCCTGTTGAAGCTTCTTTTTGTGATTTATTGGTAAAACTGCTGCCAGATCTTGAAACAGATTTATATTATTGTTATACTATATATATATTTTCTAGGGGTTGCTGCAAACTATCAGCCCCATTTGCTTTAATTGTTATTTAAATGGCCAAATTTACTTGTTGGGACATATACTTCAGTGGACAAAAGTAATATTTATAAGTACTGTACTTTTACAATTTTGGAGGTACTTTGGAGTATTTCCATTTTAAAATATTTTACACCACTAAAGTGATCTGTTAGTTTGAGTTACTTTGCAGGTTAACATTTTGTAAACAACTCAATAATCTTACCAAGAAATTTGTCATAAAAGTCTTATTTTCTTAAAACAAGTGAACACCTCTTGTGGCTGATTATGGACTTTTTGCTCAGATTGAAGTTTGGAAGTACAGAAGATCTAAGTTGTGTTAAATAAATAGTTTCTCTATCTCAATACATACGGTAAAAGATTTCTAACATAATTACTCAGAAGCTCAGACACGCTTGGATGTTCAGATTATCAGCAGTAATAATGTATCATAGTTGGAGCCATGTCAGCATTCAAACTCACTTTTACAGAATGCAGGACTGTGCACCTTTGTTCTTTTGAGGTGATGAAGTGAATAAAAATAATGTCCTGAGATGTCTGGGCTGCTCTTAATGGCGAGATGGATCGAAGTCAGTCTCCTCCGAAAAATGTCCACTAGGAGAATATGGCTAGAACAATAATCATGAAAATTGACTTCACACCTTAATGTGCATGACCAGCCACACGTTTGTTAATCTGAGTGAAGGTTATTTGCATTGTGAGTTGCGCTCGATGTTTACTCCCCAAACTGCTTGTCATTCAGAGGCCAAAAAATTACTTAAAAAACAATTAGATGGTCCCTTTTCAGATGTAGAGTTCAGATTTTTTGTATTAGCACCTAATTCAGGTGCTAATTTCACTTGTGTGGTGTCTTATGTCAAAGCAAACTAAACCCTAACTCGAGGTTCAAGTTATTACAGACTTTTTTCAAACACACAATAAGAATACTCAGACCTGATTAACTGATTTACTTTTGGTCTTCCTGTCCCAATCCACCCAAAAGTAGTTTCAAGCTGCAAACTTAACTGCACTGCTGGCAAGCAAAGTAAAGCAAAGAAATTGTGAAATTATACTGCAGATTCCGTCTAAGTTAGCAAAGAATGACGTGGTTAAACTAGACAGTTTCAGCTTCAAATAGTATTTCCAAAATACAAATTTCACACCAATTTACTGATTGGTCTTACTTAAAATATTTAGCCCTACCTACTTGCATAAACCATTCTTCAATATTATGGATGACAGGCTCATTATGAATAAATGAAAGACATGTTGCTGCTTTCTGTATTTGACAGTATTTGAGTTGAGACTTTCTCGTTCATCCACTCAGACGACTTCCCTTCCTTGGTTTTACCCGTTGAGGTAGAACCCAACCAAACACATCATCTCTGGCACCTGAGCAGATGTACGTCTGAGAAATGTTTGGAGCTGAAACTCCAGTTTAACGAAAATACTTTACACTGAATACACCAAGAAAACACCTATACTAATTGAGTGTACCCTATTAATATATCATTACTGAGAGAGACGTCCTCAGATATGATTATATCTTTAAAAATTATCCAAGTCCCCCCCCGAAGCTTCCAGCATCCTCTTCCACACTTCCTGTCTGTGTCGAGCAGCCATCACTCCACCAGGAGATTTTATCTATTATGGGAGGGCATGATTCATGGAGGCAGAGACAGCTCAAGGAAAACCAATCCTGTGACACTTTCTCCCCTGCGCTGTACACAGGGCGGCAGCAGCTACAGAAGGACAAGGCAGCGGGAGCGGGTCGCCCCTGACAACCGTGATAAAATGGCCTTCCTTAACTAAACTCGTAAAGCACGGGGCAATAAAACTCAATCTTCTGTAAAATCCAATTAAGTCATTATCTGACTGATTGTATCTTTAATTGAAAACAGAAGTGACAGTAAATTTCTGTGATATATCAGGATCAATCGATACTGCTGTACAATCTGGTCTCAAGAGGTGATTTATAATGTCAAAGTCTTATAGGTAACTCCACATTCTTCTCTCTAAAACCACTGGTGGATGAAATTAAGAGTAAGTGCGTTTCATAAAAAAACAAGATGGTCGTGTTATTGATTACAACAGATGGGTCAGGATCCAATGAATGTTCCCACAGCGCAGCAGAAAGAAAATACAAGTAATTTTCTTTGTCTGTTTTATATTGTTGTTTCCAGCACACCATCACATTTACACTCCATCACTTAGAGCATTTTTATTTACCTAAAACTTGTAGCGACATAAACTCCAAGACTCCAAATTACTTTTGTTGCTGTCTTATTCAAACACAAACACAAATAAACACTTTCAAAGCGTGCAGTTCGAAACGAATCTCCATAAAACACATAAACAATATACGGTACAGTAGTGTACGAGTCAGCTTCACAAAGGCAGAAAAGTGGGCACCACAACTCAACACCACAACTCAAAAGTTGGCAACACAGAATTACTCACATTAGTTCATTATGTAAAAAACTATATATATAACTATAGTTTGGTTTTTCGGGTAATTACACAGAAAAACACTGTGACCAGGTATTTTAACTGTTAAAAACAGTACAGATTACAAGGGCTGCAACTAACACTTACTTCTATCAATAGATGAATGCTGATTTTTGTGATTAATGGATTAGTTATTTGTTTTATCTATAACACCAGAAAACACTGTAAAATTGGCAATTTCCCAGATCCCAAGGTCCAAAATAAAAATGTTTTGCATTTTTTGCTTGAAAAACGACTTAAATTATTAACTGATTATAAAAAGATTTGCTATTCAGTTTCTGGATCGACTAATCAATGAATCGTCTTTTCGTTTCAGCTCTACACGTCACTGCAGCAGCACCTCAGCCTCTGCTGTATCTACAAGGCCGTACCAAAGTGTGTAAACAGTTATGAACAGTACCCCGTGTGCAAAGAAAAACTTTGGCCCAGAAGGGGTTAAATATACAATAGACATGCAAATTCTCTGGTATAAACGATGCCACTGGATCGGAGCCATAAATAAGCAGCCGGCGCTCATCACACGCCAACAAGGTGAGCATGATTCATGTCGAACCTGCCTGTTTTCTCGTTCGAGTCGCACATCTCCCTGCAAGAGGATATCCAAGCGTCTCTGTTGGTGGCTCTGTCGGAAATGTTCTCTACATTTAACTTTAAGTTTTTATACCAGAAGAGATAAATGAATGCCGTCTTCTGTATCAGTTGACGTTTCCAAAATTATCAGATCGTTGTTCAGGGTAAATACATGTGACATCTGATAAAATATCCCGCTCTGTACCTTGGTCACAATTGTTTAAAAAACTAATTTAAGGATTCCTAAAAATGTTTTTTGGTTATGTATGTTTATGAAAAAAAAAAAGACATCCGATGGATCATCATCAAAGTAGTAAAATCTGAAATATCACTATAGCAGTCTCGAACATCCAGTATCGGTTGGACAATACTTATTGATGACAAAATTTCAAAAGGAAGCAGGTTCTACCAACACAATGAAACACAGTATAGTCATTTAAATACTGTTTAAAGAACTGTTATATGTAACTTAACAGCCCCTGAAAGTATTTATTTTGCTGACCACCGGTGGATTAACTTCTCACCTGGCTGCAGTGATGTAAAGTGTACTACAGGGTGTGTCAGTACACTGTGACTTCACTGTTTGGCGTGGATACAGGTGAAACACACTTTAAACTTTCAACCAAAGAGGGCAGTAAAATGCAGGCTGGCGTTTAGTTACTCTTTAAAAACAAAAAAGTTTGTCGAATATTGACCTACGTCTTCTAGACCTACATATTTTAACCTGCAAATCACCAAATCATTGCTTACTTTGAAGGATGGAGTCAACATTGTCTAATGGTTTACTGGGTCACAAAACAGACAAACTAATATAACTAATATGAACTAATAATATTAACTTATACTGCATGTATTATTGCATTTATTGCATGTCCACCAGGGGAAAATGACAGGAAACTAGTGCGCTCCCTGAATCCATTGGGCCAAATTTCACTTGTGGTGCTTGGAATGTTCAGTAACAGCGAGTACAGTTTTTCAACTCAAAAATTACATTTTAGCGAACACTAAGCCGCTAATCTCATTGTCAGAGAATAGTCACTGATAATGGAACACACTACATGACTGATACTGTGTGAAAACTGTACTAGTCAAATTTACTGTAAGCTACAAAGGATTTTAACATCATTATTGCAAATGTCACTTTATCTTTTGGATAATAAAAATTTTAGATTGCATTAACAGTTGCTTCCTGAGGGGGAGAAACAAGTGTACAACTTTACGAAGTCTAGTTTGAATAATTTGTTCCAATCTTGACTGCTCATAATAAAGATCCTTATTAACTGTATGTTCATGGTCATCTTTAATCTATCCAAACAGCCTAATTCGGAAAAGTGCTTCTCAAATATTTGCATGTTGTTATTAGTGAATTTGTACAATTTAGTTTTACTTTCCAAGCATTTTCTATGCTGGTGAACTGGTTTCAATAAAAGACTCAACAGCTTTGAGGCTAAAAATGAACTAAAAACAACCTATATTCTCAATTACAGTATGGAATATATATCTATATATATATTTATTGTGCCTCCTGGACAGAAACCCAGCAGCAACAGTGAACCATGAAACTGTTTTCTGCTCAACTGATCTCACAATGATTATTTTTAATAACGCTTTCCTTAGCTTCTTTTATTTGGTGGCGTCGATGATGGAGTTGACTGTGAAGTTTGGAGTCTCGCTGCTGGCCTCGCACTCAGCACTGACATCAGAGTTAACCAGGGAGCCGATGGACCTGCAGGTCATGGTGGAGTGGTGACCAGTGGTGATGCTGCCAGGGGAGAAGGCTGCAGAGAAGAGACAGACAGACAGAGAGTCACGATCAGAGATCCACCGAGGAGGCGAGTTGCTACACTTAGTTACCATCTCATTTTAACCAGCAGTCGTGGCCACTTCACACAACTGTGTGTATCCTTACATTATTATTGTAAAAAATATATATATATATCAGTATTGTAAAAAAACAAAAACATACCGAAAAACACTGTCTCACTATGGTAAAGAACGTATTTGAAAAATAAACCTCAAATCTTTCACTTCTCTTTCACATATTTCAGTGTTTCCTCTACATGCATTCTGGCGCACCGCCACTACTAAAATTTCCCACGATCATTAAACTATGAGCTACAAATGTTTTCACTTGCACACTGTGCGAGCACGGCAGCACTCAATGCTCGGACCGCTTCCTCTCATCGTTCCATGCAGAACATAGGTGACAGATGGTGTTATAACAGCAGCGAAACTCTGAATCAGGAGGTGCGTAGCGAGTGTTTGATTGTCCAAGCGGCAGAAAGTGACGAAAAAATATATATAATAGTGACGGGAAAATATTCTGGCAGTAAATGTACGGTGCCTGTTACAGTGTGTCAGCTTCTCAAGACCAAGAAAAGTCTGTTGTTTCCCACCTGCTGGAAAAAGTGAAGCCGGTTAGCGCTAAGTTAGCTAACATCTCCCCTTCAGACTGCGCAGCTGAGCAGGAAAGCTTCTACAGCAGCTACACAGCTGCTATGTAACTTAACATTAGCTCAATTTATAGAAAGTAACTGGAAGCTGTATTTTATTACTGCCTACTGACCTGTACTCTGACCTGTACAGTCTGATTCAATTATTTTTCAGTTTTCAGTCTGAAAAAGTGGTTTTGGAAAAGAAAGGACGGAGGTGACTGGAGGAGCTGAGGTTAGTTAAGCTAATTAGTGATGCAAACTAGTCCCTTTAAGCTAAAGAGGAGACTTTTTGTTGGATTTTAATGTGCAAATAAAATGCAGGTTTCTCATGTTGCCTATTTTTTATATTAATGTCTACAGATAAATGTCAAAGGCTGTTAAATGAAGACACAAAAGGCAAACATGAACAGTATTATCTATAATGATTCTGAGGTCATATTAACAGGGTTTTCCTGCCGTTAAGGCTTAGGGGTGATGCCCAAAACATGCTGTGCCATCACTGTAAAATCACTGTGGAGCAACAGAACCAACCAAACTTACTTTCTCCAGATCTAAAGGTTGTAGTTCCTCCAGTAGACTCATCTTTGGGTGTTGGTTATTTATTATGTGCTTTAGCTTTTCCAACTATTTGTTCAGAGATATGGTGAAAATAATGGCCCGATATGATGTGAAATTACATATCTGTCATTGGAAAACATAAAATTTTCTTTTTTGGGGGGGGGGGGGGGGTGCTAGATCCTAGAGGAAACACTGGATTGAGCTACAAATTTTTCTTAGATACTCCACAAAGTCATTAATATGATAAATTGCTATTGCCTGGTGTAGGTAGACAGCACAGCAGCACACATAAAATAAACAAATGTCTACATACTTTAAGGCGAGTAAATAAAAAGAACAGAAATACTATAGTGAGACAGACAAAACAGCAGTCACTTCATCAGCACTGCAGAATAAACGGTCCTCTCTGTTAGCAGAGACTTCGCCTGATATAAATATGAGTGTACTGTTAAATTATTCTTAGCAAAGCTCAGGATTTAAAGCAAACTGAATCTGTCAGCAAAAAGTGGAAGACACTAAACACAAAAGCATTAGATTGTTTACAGTTAACATGAGAGCTACTGTATGTGCATGCACTTGTCTACAGCTGCACACAAAAAACTATGTGAGGCCAGAAGATATTAAGATGATTAACAGCAATCTACTGTGTTTGTAACAATGTTACTGTAACGTTTAAAAACCATTGTGGACCTTTTCTTTGTGTTATCCTCATTTATAACCGCAGTAAAGCCGTACTGCATGACATTAATCTGTGAAGATTCTAGTGGTGGGAATCTCACCTCATGATTCGATGATACGATTACCGCTGCGATGCGATGAAAAAAAATAAGATTATCAATGCTTTTTTCTATACAGAGTTTTTGGATAATTACCACGCATTTAATTTGCAGATTAAAATCCAAAAGAAATGACTCCTCATTAAAAGGATGAGTTTGAATCCCTAATTTGCTTTACTAACCTCAGCTCCTCCATGGTCACCATCCTTTCACCATCACTTTCCGCCATTCCTCTCATTCGCTCAACCACACACTTGCTACACACACACACATACACATTACGCACTGCCCTACCCTAACTTAACTATTATAACAGCACCTGTCACATAGATGTCCTTTGAAGAATGAGGAGAGGAAGCTGACACAGGGTTACCGTGTTCTCACAGTGTGAGAGTGAAAATCATTAGTTGATATTAATGATCGTGTGAAATTTTAGTAGCAGCAATTATTCATTTAGCAGTGGTGGTGCGCCGAATATTTGAGAACATCTCTGTTAAATGATTATCAGATTGTCCGGGCGCTGCATTCTGAGTTCCGCCTTTTGCGTTCTGTCAACATTGCGTTATCAATTTACATTTAGAAAATTCATTTTTGACATTTGTGAATTGATTCAGAATCGTCCACTTCTGCATCGCAATGCCTCTAAGAATCGATTTTTCCGATTAATGTAATCGCAATTGCAATCGTGATGTCGAAATTACAGAACCACAAAATGTGTGCAATTTAATAAAACAGAAAAAGTGTGTGTTACAGTCTCTTCTTTGTGTCTGTTGCAGTCTGCTCATTATCCCCACCCACACATTTCGCATGTGCCCCTACAAACAGATGGGCCTACGCGCAGAAAAATTATTTATGAGCAGTGTGCAAGTAACTTTTAAGACAACAACCTACCGTAACCCCCCTCCCCACGGCTACTCAGGCTCTGGTCGCTCTGTGACAGCGACAGCGGAAGCAAAGATAAGATAAGGAAGGTTTGAGTTTGGCTCCCTACCATTTAAAGTTAGCTCTATCTCTGCCTTTTGTTGTTCAACATGTTCAACTTTTTTCATAAAGCCGACGTGCTTGTCAGTTTCACTTTTCGTCAACCGACCAATCACAGCTTGGATGGGACGGGACATTAAAAAAGGTTTGGTGTACTACAGCAAACTTTCAAATGTTAGTACTTAGCAAATTGGAGACCAACGTAGAGCCTTTTGCTTGCACAAGGCTTAAATAAATTAAAAGAAAACACAGAAATGAAACAGCTGTAAAATATATATATTTATATAAATATATATATTTATATATATATATATATATATTTAATATTTAACTAGTGGTAAATAGTAGGCTAGGCTTTTACATGAAATTATAATCAATATAGTAATTAATATAGGCTAGATTGTTTTACTAACAGTACACTATAAACTAGATGGCTAACTAAATGGCTGCCGTGCATCACCCAGGTGGGTGCTACACATTGGTGGTGGTTGAGGTGAGTCCCCCCCACTTCACTGTGAAGCGCTTTGAGTTTCCATGATAAAGCGCTATATTCATGTAATGCATAGGTTGTGGATAATGTCTCTGCAGAGGACAGATATAGATTTAGCCAGTGCCAGTGTGCCAACATTTGCTCCCTCTATCCGCCTCCTCCATAGAGCATAGAGAGTTTTACTAGTCATTGTATAAATATTGTTTATTGTTTAACTTTGTTAAGAAAGTTAAAAAAAACACATCAAAATGTCTGTTTTTTGTGCATTTTCCTTGATAATCAAGCAAGTATACTCCTAGTACAATTTGTTCCATTATAATCAAATCACAATACTGTCCACAATAATCACAATATGACCTTTTCTCCCTATTAACAATGTGAGAGGAAGTATCACTGCAAAGCTACGTATTTGGCTTTGTGTCAACCCACTATTTCAGAGGTCACTAATTGGCGGACCGCAGTCCGGTTCCGGACCCAGCCGCTGTCCTCTTCGGACCGCCGACCTACAGCCGATTTATTATTGAAACTTACTACCTCGTGACGGAGCGTTTCTATTTTAACCCGTGCAGCTTTTCTAGCATTTACTGTACTGGTTTAGCGGACCAGGAAACTCACAGATCAATCTGTACTCCAAGCGTCTCATGTGACACGAATGTCACACGAATTGAGGAGATGAAAGGGAAAAGAGATTTCACATGGCTTTTAATCAAGAATGTACAGATTCTTACATGTACATTCCTCCCACGGGCCGTTCAACACCAGAATATCTCATAGATCTCCAATGCTAGCTGGCTGGACAAACTAGAGCTCACGTTTCTCACTGAACAAGAGAAAGTAGGAGTGGTAGCTCTATAAGAGGGAATGAAAGAGAAGAGGAGGCATTACAGCTGTTTATTTGTTATGATGTGTTGAGTATTTATTATCAAATTGGTTAAGACTACACTTAGCTACAGTTTTTATTTATTTTTTTCTAAAAATTAGGCACATTATTTTAGTTTACTTAAATTTAGAATTTATTATTAGAGTAGTTATTATTTATGATCCATCCAGTTTGATGTGAAAACTGACTGAAATATTATTTGCTCAATCATCAATCATGATTTCAGATAAATGCTAAAGTTGCTGTTACTGTTAACTCGTCTGTGGTCCGCTGGCAGAACACCGGATGCTTTCTGATCAGGTGCTGCCATGCTGTTGCCAAGGTAACATGAGTTTCATTTTACGGTGGACGGGCGGTAACATTAGAGAGTTGTTGTTTTCTTTAGCTTGAAATAATCCCATACTTTGGACACTTTCTTCTTTGTCCCTCGCTGTTTTCTCTCTCTTCCTCCACTTTGCAAACAGCTCCATTATAATCACGTTGTGTTCACACAGCGTAAGTGCAATGTGCGACAGTAATAAATGTCCGTGCGAAACAGTGTGCTATATAGTTATATGGATCAAACAAAGCCTCCGCGTCGATGCATTTTAGTAATCAATTTAATCAATGAATCTTTTCCGCACTATTAATGTGTATGTTGCATTTTACTACTGTCTAT